CCATAGTGTATATGTGCCACATTTTCTTTATCCAGTCTATCATTAATGGGCATTTGGGTTGGTTCCAAGTCTTTGCCATTGTAAATAATGCTGCGATGAACATACATGTTCATGTGTCTTTATAATAGAACGATTTACAATCCTTTGGGTATATACCCAGTAATGGGATTGCTGGATCAAATGGTATTTCTATTTCTAGATCCTTGAGGAATCGCCACACTGTCTTCCACAATGGTTGAACTAATTTACACTCCCACCAACAGTGCAAAAGTGTTTCTATTTCTCCACATCCTCTCCAGCATCTGTTGTCTCCAGATTTTTTCATGATTGCCATTCTAACTGGCATGAGATGGCATCTCAATGTGGTTTTGATTTGCATTTATCTAACGACCAGTGATGATGAGCATTTTTTCATATGAACACTATGTTTTGATCTCAATATGTTTTTGAGATTTCTCTATATTATTTGTAGAGGTTGACTCCATTCCTGTTTAACTCCCATGAGCCTATTGATAAACATTTGGGTTTATTTAACAAATAGTTTATCTATTACAAATAGTCCAGGAATGCATGCTCCGTTTTCTCCTTCCATATGCATGAGAGGTTTTCAAAAGTAAACACCAAGTAGTGGAATTCCCAGGTGCTATGGACTGAATGTTTACATCTCAAAAAAATTCATGTTGAAATTCTAACCCTCAACATGATGGTATTTGGAGGTGGAGCCTTTGGGAGGTAATTAGGTCTAAACCTAACTAGGTCATTATGGTGGCATGATAATGGGATTAATACCCTTATAAGAAACCAGAGAGCTTTCTCTGTCTCTCTGTCCCCACCATGTAACAATGCAGTAGGAAGGTGGCCATCTGCAAGCCAGAAGGCGGGCTCTCACTAGAACCCAACCATGATGACACCCTAACCATAGACTTCCCAGTCTCCAGAACCATGATAAATAAATGCCTATTGTTTAAACCACCCAGTCAATTGGCATTTTGTTATAGCAAACTGAGTAGCTAAGACACTGGGGCATGCATAGTGGTGGGAAATGTTCCAATTTGCATTTTCACAAGCACAGCCTCACCAATGTGATATTGTCAACATTTTTCATCCAATTTTTGCTTTGTAGGAGATTTTCACCATCCTCACTGGGCACAGGTAAGTCCCAAACATCTAAACCTCTCTTAAAATGAGGGGAAGGAGCATTTATTCAGCTCCAGGCCCTTTCCTGCACACCCATTGATTGCCTCTTAGAACACTCCAACAAAGATATTATGATTTCCACTTTGCAAAGAGAAAACTGAAGTTAAGGAAGGTGAAGTGACTTGCCTGAGGTGACACACCTGAAAGTTGTGGAACTAGAGCTCAAAAGCAGGTGTGCCTGTTGTTAACATCTATACTCTTGTTCACTGTGTTAGGGACTCAACTAATGTTTTCTGAGCTCTGATTATATACCCCACCCTGGAGATACAAAAATGAATTATGGGGCATTCTTAGCACATAGTAATATTCCATGAATCTTTGTTGAATGACTGTTGAATCAAGGAGCTCAAAGTTCACAGAGACAAACATGTAAAAGATATTTGCAATAGAATGGTGAAGCACCATGAGAGATGTACAGCAATCGTTCCCCTTTACCCACAGTTTTGCTTTCTGCAGTTTCAGTCACCTGCAGTCAACTGTGACCTGAAAATATCACAAACAGACCAGGTGCAGTGGTTCATGCCTGTAATCTCAGCACTTTGGGAGGCTGAGACAGGCGGATCACCTGGTCAGGAGTTCAAGACCAACCTGGCCAATGTGATAAAATCCCATCTCTACTAAAAAACAGAAAAATAAAAAATAAAAAAACTGGGCATGGTAGCATATGCCTGTAGTCCCAGCCACTCAGGAGGCTGAGGCAGGAGAATCACTTGGACCTGGGAGGTGGAAGTTGCAGTGAGCTGAGAGCCGAGATCACAGCACTGCACTCCAGCCTGGGTGACAGAGTGAGATTCCATCTCAAATATGTGTGTGTGTGTGTGT